TTTAAACTCAGTGGTACCCTCACTGGTAGAATTTATTTAATACAATGCACTGTATTCTAACCCTGGAAAAAGATTACCATTTATAAAACAAATCCCACTCAATTTTGTCTGATAGATTTGGCAATTCTTTATAATACAAATGGTGAAAATGATTTCTAAAAATGTAAAACCACATGTATTTATTTGAGATGAGATGAGATGAATCCAATGGGGTAATATAGTCTACCTAGTAAATAATACTAAGTCTGTTCTCAATTATCTCTGATTTGCTTGAAAAATTTGGTAATATTATGAATAAATTGGAGAATATATACAAATTTCTATGGCAGGTTCATCTAGTTTCCTCCAGATATCTATTCTTACCTTCCATTTTAGTAATAATAAAACTCTGGTTTTAGCTCAGCACCTTGCTGCCTACCCAGAAAACCTACATTTCTGTCTCCTTTATAGACAGGTGAATGCATGTAACTTAGTTCTTTTGAGTAGGTAGAAGTTGAGGTATTGCGTGTTACTTTGAGAAGTAGCCTTAAAAAGGAGGGGTAACACATTTCTTTTACTGATTTCTTTATCTTGCTTTCTGGAACACAGGTGTGATGGCTGGAGCTCTGACAGCCATTTTGGATGATGAGGAGAAGAATCACATTCTAGAGAATATGAAGCAGTCAGCTAAAAGGAGTCTGGGTCCTTGATGACTGTGAAATTTCCCACCTTGACTTGTTTTCTGTGAGAGAGAATTGTACTTCTACAATGTAGTAGCCATTATTATTTTGGGTTTGTCAAATGCATCTGAATCTAATTCTAACAGTTATAATTCCCTTCCCATACAAAAAAGCTAGTGAATATGATCTTTTTTGGATACTTACGGCTCCATTCCTATGGGCTTATTTCTGCATCCTGCATGAGAGACTCTGATTACCACATGTAAATATCAGTGAACAATGAGAAGCAACAAAGTACATATAGGAGAAAGCATGAACTTGTCTTTGAATTCTGCTAATTATGTGATTTTGGTTTAGTTATTTAACCACATTGAGTCTCAGTTTCATTTTCTTTAAAACTATGGTTGTAGTATTTTCAAAAGATTATTGTTGAATAAATATAAACGCTTGGCTCATAGTGTAGCACACAGTGGGCTCAGAATTTACATTTGTTACTTCCTGTTTTTCCTTTATATTAGAGGATCTGAGATCATGTCAAATGACATATTCCTCTAATGGCACTGAGGAAATAAAGAAGCCAGAAAATGGAACACGTTTAGTCTATTGGCAGGAAAAAAAAAAAGGCAACGGAAACTTATGCCAGGTAGGATAGTCATCAAAGGCTACAAACCAAAGATCAGTCATAGAACGCTACAGACGGAAAGGTGATTCAAGAATTCAGTGCACTGTGGAATGAATATCGGGTTTTTAGAACTTAGAATTTATGTTTTAAGGCAAGTTTCAGAACTTTATATAGAGAGAACAGCCACTTAATTGACGTAAGTTAAGATTTCTTTCACTAAGTAGGACTGTGATGTTTAAATGAAAAATCAGTCAAATCAAGAGCTAGTTATGTCTAATTATGTTTTGAAAAACTACATATAAAATATGTTGTCCTGCTGCAGAGCAGTTTTTATAAAAGAAGAGAATAATGACTTATAATGAAGGTATCCATTCTGATAACCTGAAGTAACAAATTGGAGGAATTTTTGTATTTTGCTTCCAATCTCTTTCTGATTCAAATGAAAAATGTAGGAAGCATCTCATAGGGAATACTTTTATTCTTTTAAGAATATATTGAGTTAGATATTTTTTATTAAATTACTTAAGATGATAAATGTTAAAAGAGGTATTTTAGTGGCTTGTAGTATTCACAGCAAAGAAGCAACTTAAGAGTTATCATTTTGAAAATTAAATCTTGGTAACTTGGCAGATAATATCTCCTTAATTAAAAAGTGATAAATTAAAAGCCAAAACCTGTTCTTTAAAATCAACATATGTTGAAATAACTACAGTGATGTTGCCAGTACAAGTGTTGGATAGTGTAATGCAAACATATTTTTGCAAATATCTATTTCCCTTCAGTTTCTGGATTGTGTCCCAGTTTTAAATGTAGGGTAGGTGATGAAATTGTGAGGCATTAAATGCACTTAAAAATTGCAAGTGCATTCTCTTTTCTCTCACAATTACATGACAGCTTCTGACTACTCTTTCCTGCTATACAGTAATGACTGTAGTCTCCTGGTATTTGTTCCTCAAGTTAAGCCCTCCTTAGAACAAGAGCTTTTGGGATCAGTTCCCCCATTTTTCATGTGTTCATTAATCAGCTAGAGTTGCGTTTAATTATTCGAGCCTTCATATTCACAGCCATTTAAAAGTTAAGTTTAATAGAGCTTTAAAAAATCTAACAAGATGTATCTTATATAACTTTATTTTCATTAAAAATTGTTACTAAAAAAGCTAGCATAGCCATTTGCTTATAATAAGTCATGCTTCCTTCTAGGAATTTTTAAAGTTTGTTTAATGGGACTCCTGAGTAGACAGCTGTGCAGTCTGAATCGCCTTAGACTGAAAATATTTCAGATGTAAGTTTCTCCCAACATGGAGTGCTCATCTCCACATGTACTGGGAAAGAGGCTGGTTGGGAAAGTTAGAGCTGGGATGTTCTCTTGTAACTCAAAACAACATAAACAGAAATGAAAAGAATTGCATAAAATCTCTCAGTCTACCATGTTTGCAGATGTTTGCAGCTATACAAATAGGAACATTAATTTGAACCTTCAGAAAATGAACCTTCTTCTAAAAATACATCCAGGACAAGAAGATACCTCTCCATTTGCTTTACATCACATCATCATTGCAATAGACAGATGCGGTATTATACAACTGTACACTTAAAATGTGTACAATTTTTATTAATGTCACCCCAATAGATTTAATAAAATTAAAAAAAAAATGAACCTCATTGGTATATCCCAGAGATTAATTCCATGCATTGGACTCTCTAATACTTGAGAATTTCTTGATATAAAAACTAAAGGATAAATGTTTATTATAGAAAAGAATTCATTCTTACTCATGGGATTTTTTGGAATAAAGAATGATGAAACTTGAGGAAAATGCAAGAATTTGAGAGGTCTAGATGAAGGGTTTGGTTAGATAAGAAGAAGAGAAGGCAAGAAGAAATAAACTTTTGCTCTTCTCAATAACTTGCCTTACATTTTGGTTTACATTTTAAAAGCGTTCTTTATGTATTTCTCCCATCTTGTGCAGCCAGAATATTAATATGAGAAAGACACTGGTTTTGCCTACCACTACTTTTTAACATCTCCAGTGGTGATTATACTCATTTTTTTTTTTTATGTTTTGATTGTCTTTTATACATTTTGTTCTTTGTTTGCTATTTGTCTCTATCGTATTAAGCTACACATTTTATTTTTTTAAATTATAATTAAATATTACTTGAAATTTCTTCATAGAATGATTGGCAGCTTAATTTTTCCATTTTACTGAAAGAGGAGCTATTTTAACTTTTTCATTTTATACAGAATCTCTGTACATTAAAAAGTGAATGATTGTTCATCCAATTTAACAACCAAAACAATTCATGAAATGTTAGTGCTATAAGAATGTAAAAATAGGATTCTAGATATTTTGTTTTAGAGATTTGCTTTTACTTCTTAGATAACGTCTCTTCTCCAAAGTAAATTATTCTATTAACTATTCACAAAATAATATTCGATAAGTTCTAGCTTTCTTTTGTATGTCTCATATCGTGTAGAGCTATAATTTTTACACTTTCAATGAAAATGAAATTGAATTTATTGTAAAGATCCATGTTATACAATTGCAATATTTGCATCACACAATAAGTATGCTACGTAGATGTTTATCTTTTTGATCATATATATATAGTTCAAGAGAGTGTAGCTGAAATCAAAAGTGTGATCTTTTTTACTTTTCTCATTCACTTAGCTAAAGCAAATCTATATATATTGATCTTTTCATATAGGCTGTGGAATACAGAATTAAATGTTTGAATCTGTTGAATCATTAGGATAAGTTGATGAATACATACATTCTTTTTAAAATAAAACTAGCATATTTTTGAAGTATTTTTCTTATTAGATCAGTGTAAGAATATCCTATAGAAACACTTAATTGTTTTATACATTAGAGAACAGGATCTCCTTTGGTTGCCTCTGACTGCTAACCATTCTTGGGAAGACTATAATAAAAATCAGTCAACAGAATAAAGTCTATTCTTATGCAGGCGCATCTGGATCTCTTTTTAAAAAATATACAGTTGAAATTTTTTTAGGGCTCTACACACAAATATATATTTTTTTCTTTTAGCTTCTTTATTTTATTCTCAGGCGGGGTCACATTTCTTGTAATTAATGTTCCAGTTTGCCAAGTTTTCTTTGAATCCTAGAACAAGATGAAGTTCATGGAACCGTGAAGTGTCACTGCCCTCCCCATTTCGCTCACCAACACACAGACATTTTGCCTTTTGGGTTTCAAGTGTTTATATGAAACCTACATCACAGTATAACCACTTCAGAGCTGACTGCCCCCACTTCAGAAGTCATATTTCTTATATTCTATTATTTATGGGTTATTGTCAAGTAGAAAGCTTTGTCATTTTATAATATTCCCGGCAACAAAGCCCCTTACAACCGTAAGCCACAGGAAGTACCAAGATAACACCTGATATGTAGTATCTTTTTTCCCTTTCTGTTCCCTTAGCTTTTATAAATCATAGATGACAGAGGCCTTGCTCTCAAAGTGCAGAAAGGGAATGGCAGAAGAATTTTGTGCTGGGTCTGGGAGAGTTCTTTATGTAAAATCCTGATCTCTTTTTCTGAGAATTACCTTTCTCTCACTAGTGTAAAAGTTTTAATCTCATGTGTATGTGTACAACATTTTACATTTCAGGAAGTATGATTTAATGAATAATGAAGCATTTTGTGGATAATAATTTTTGACTAATAAATTTTTTATCAAAAATAATTCTGAAATACTATGTAAAAGGGGATTTTGTGAACATTCTATATGCCATATATCATAACGAAACTATACACTATCGTGCAATAACAGTAACACAAACTATTAGACTTTTGTATAATAGTTTCTCTCATTTTTAAAATCCAAGATTACTTTGGCTCAGGTATAGTCATCTTGGAAGAAAATAATTATTTAAAATTCCATTTTAAAGCATGAACAGTTTTAGATGTAAAAAAAAATTACATAAAAATCTTGAAAGATTACTTTTAATTTCACATTCCAGGCCAGACTTTAGGAGCCCTTGTAACATGTAGACATGAGTCATTACAAGATGTATTAAGTTGTTTGGGACACACCCAATAGATGAAGTGGCCCCAACATGTGTAAGATGTACCTAGGAAATTCTCCCTTGATTATTCCATTACCATTGTGCTTTCTTTATCGTTCATTATTTTTGGATAAAAGATTCAATATCCATAGTAAGGATTCACATGGTGAAGTAGCCGTTTGTGTCCTTTAATGAAAACTAATTTACCATAGAATTGGCGTATAGATATCATTTTTAAAGAAGAGAAGTGTATCTTTAAAAAAGCAGTGAATACTTCAGTTATAACATCATTGGTTACTTTGGTCTGTGGAAAAGCATCGAGCAGAATTTTTGCTCCTCAGGAAGACTTCACATACCAGGCAGGCATTGAGTGTCCAAGTGTTGGCCCTGAGGCACATCTGGTAGATTTAGAAATGTACAAGAAAATTCCAACCAAAAAGTGTCACGGAGTTGGCCATATTTTAACCTTTTAACGATGCCAGTTATAACTACATTTTATAATCAAGATAGTCATTAGTCGTCACATAATTGAGACAAGCCATTTGCTACGAGAAAACTTTTTTTAGGGCGTTAGCTTGTCCATCTGTAGACATTAGAGTTCGACTAAAGAAGGTTCATTTTCAGCTGATAAGTCAGCTAACCATGGTGACCTATGTGGTTTCCTAGGTTTGTGCTGCCAAACTACATTCTTAGAATTGTTTTGCAGAGGTAAAAGCCCAGAAACACTGGAAATATGGCAATTATTCATCCTCATTTCAACATACTCTGTGTTCAAGTTCCCTCGGATCAGAAAAAGCCAAGCTATAATCACACATTCACTGGGGTAAAAGTTTACGAGGCAGTGTTCTACCCTCAGACATTCTTGTTTTCCTTGTAATATAGGGTCATTTGTATAAATACAGTATGCCAACAAAATCTGGTTTTCTTCAATTTGAAATGAAATTAGGGCAGTGATTTCTTTTAATTCCATTGCAGAATCTTTGAGTGTACACTCTATTATGTTTTGCTGGGAAAAATGTGTTTGCTGGAAAAATATATGTTTAGTAGCGCTATAATACCAACAATACCATCCTCAGAGTCAGTACTTCGGAGGAGAGAAATGGTGGTGTTGTCCCTGAGATGGTCAACAAATGCTCATGGAGGGGAGGTGATCCAGGAGAGGAAAAGCTTTCTCCTTGACTCATATTCCTCTCCAGCTCTGAGACCTTGCACTTATTGTTTCTGTCTTGCTTATCTGTGCCATATTTCTCACATATCAAACTAAAAGAGATGACAATAACAAAACAAACAAAAGAAATGAGAGTACACATTCACAAAATAAACAATCCGTATGAAATAAAGAGAGTTGGATTTGGTTCTTTAGTCAGTAATTGTATAATGCATGAGATGTCACTTTCAGAATTAAGGTAAAACTTAGAGCAAAGAGAACAAACTGTAGCTTGTTTACTTTTTGATTTGCTCCTACTGAATATTTTTTCTTTTGGGTCAGAATATGAGTCTTTTTGTGTTCTTTTGTTCTGAGAAGTGAGGATGGTAGTGGATGCACAGCCCATATTCCTTGACTTTTTATGTTGCTCATGTATCCGTTATTACTGTTGGTTTCTTAGTGGAATTTTTTCTTTCACCCTTACTTTGGCTTTACCTCCAAATGCCTTCTTCTGTTGGCTGAAATCTAGCACTGTAATTTGTGGCTTTCCGGAGAGGGAACCTCCGTGGTCAGGTGGAGGAGGCAGGCCGCATTCCAGCTCTGGAGTGGTAGGCGTCCCAGACAGAGCGCTGATTCTGGAGTGAGTTGGGTGTTGGGTGAAAGTTGGCTACTAATTCAAGCCTCACCTGAGGCAGTATATTTTAAATAGAAAAGTGCCCTCTCTAATTAGCTGACCCAATATGCAATTAGATTAATGACAGCCAACGGATTTAGAAACCTGTTCCAGAGTGAACTAACCAAAGAATAGATGTTCCAAGGACATGACGAAGAGCTAATTTTCCTGCATTAAAGAATTTGTAGTTTTACCTTTTGTATTTGTGGTGGACTGCCTCATCACCTTATGAAGGTGAAGCACATTCTCTCTTTTGGAAGGCAGAGTTAAAACTTCCTGAGGATCTCCTTGGAAAAAAAAAATCTTACTTAAAGTTACCTTTCCAGTAAATCCTATGCTCTCAAAGCATTGTGTGAAGCTTTGAAATTAACTGGTTTAATTGATGATAAAGTTCTCAGGTACTGGAGGTGGATGAATTTCCATCATTTAAGAATCACTGAATATATGATCATTTTTGTGAATCACGAAAAACACTCAGAGTAACTATTTGGTTGTTAGGCTAGATGTATTTTAATGATAATTAAATATGTGTTCTCAAAAATTTTTATACTGTTAGATGCTAGAAGAAGATATGTATAAAAGTTAAAACTTTATATCATCATTGATATTTTCTACCCCACCCCCAAACTTTTGATAATCTTTTGTCTTCTGGTTTTGAATGATTTCATTCTGAAATTATACTTCAATAGAAAGTTTTGATGTTACTAATTTTATTTTATTTTCTCAAAAGTATATAGTTTACCTTCTTCTACCTTTTATATGATTGTTATGATTTTTCCTTCATACTTGTACTCTAGAAGAAGCATATTCTAGGCTTTCTCATTAATTAGCCTGGCAATCATGGAAACAGATCATTATAATTCAAATTTTAAATATTTGTTGATTTTCTAGAAAACGTCAATTACGATGAAAAAGAAGCCATTTAAGTTCATTCACATTTTTTCCTGAGGTGTGAAACATAGTTTCTGCAAACTGCAATTCAAGGATGCAGACTGTAGTATTTGATTTCATTTGATCACCTCTTAAAAATGTGACTAAAAATGGTAGAGGATGACAGAACGAAAGAATAATACCTTTCGTGGTCTCAAATAGTCCAATTTTCAAACACGAACTTTAAGGTTCACATGAACAAAAATTAACTATAAAGCAGTCAAGCTGCTTGAAAAGCAGGCAGTTTTTCTCACCTAGATGCTGAGAAACCTTTTCTGAGTCATTCCAAACCACTGGGATCATTTGCTCTGATTTCAGATAAGCAAAATAAAATAAACTCTTAACCAAGAGACTGGTTCTGCTGTCTCTTGTTCTTACTCTGAAAAGCCTGAATGTCTCAGGATCTTTGAATAGAGCTCATTGTTTATTTATTGTGCTTTTCACAAGTGCTTGTAACTTCACTCATGTTTTACTAATAGCTTTCTTCTGAAGCGGGTTGATATTTCAGTTAATTTTCAATGGCCTCAATGTTTTTCCTTAAATTGGGCCAAACCTATGGGCCTGTTTAAAGTTAGTCTCATATAAATTGTAGCATATAAAAATAAGGAACGTTTATTAGAGATTTTTGAATTTGTTTTCCTAAAAAAATGTAAGGTCAAAGAGAATTTTTTCTTTCATATTCTTTAATTATTTGTGTTGGTAAATTAAAGAAATGGGCATAGTGTTTTGAACCTGTAGACTTTGTAAATTTTTATGTTAAAACCCACTAGGTGTAAAAATATATATATTTATTCATTTTAAAATATAATATTGTTTAAAATTTTAGCATGACAAAGTTAGAAGATTGATCAGTGATTTTTTTTTTATCCAGATGATGTTGAACACCCTATACAGCATTCTCTGCTTAGACTTTTTATTGCATTAATTTTAAAAATCATAAGTGAAAACTTTTTTATCTATAGAAACAAAACTAAAATTGAAACTACAGGTGAATGTGTTCCTTATACCAAGAATTAAAACTTAAAAGTTACAAGGCAATATTGGCACAGAAATGGGCACCAATAGGCAAAATCCAAAAACAGGTTTAATATTGAGTGAAACTTAAATATAAAATGACATTTTAATTAAATAGAAAAAACGCGGATCATTAAAAAATTATATGGCATAACTTTTAGCCATATTCGATATCATGTATAAAAACAAATTCCAAATATATTAACATAAATAAAACTGAAAAATAATTTAAGTAAAAATATTAGGAGAAAACATAGACTATCCTGATGAAAGTGGTCTTCATAAGCTTGCCAAGAAATTTTGATCCATAATGCAAAGATTGAGGATTTGGTTACATAAAAAGTAAAACATTCTCATTTGCAAAAGACATCATAAACAAAGGAAGAAAAATATTTGCAAAAAATATGGTAGACAGAAATTAATATAATTATTATGTAAAGGCTTCAACACATTGACAGAAAGAAAAAACAAAACAATTTGGAAAGGATATGAAGATGTGGCAAAATGCGGATATGGCCAGTAAAGACTTATAAATGTGCTCAACCTCTTGAGAGATTAGGGTAACACAAATGTAAATAGTAATATATTATTTTTATCCCATCAGATTGGTCAACTTAAAAGGACTTATAATATCTAATACTAGTAAAGATGTGAGGTAATTGATATTTTTATAGTCTGTTGATAAGAATGTGAATTTTTTACACCTGAAATGTACATCACAGTGATCCTATCCTTCTAGGAATCCATCCTACAGAAAATGCCAGTACATAAGGATTAGAAGGATGTCTTTTGTTAAAAAGCAATATATTGTTAATATAAGTTGATTGTTAAAAATGTATTTTTATCAATTAAAAATCAGTGAAAACTTTTGAATCAAATGTAGTATACTCGAAGTATGGAATATCATGCAGTTATATTAAAAATAATTGGCAGATAGCTATATCCTTGGGAAAATGTACATGATATTTTTAAGTGAACCAAGGAAATGTGTATATATAAAAATATGTGATCATGTATTTTATATCTTTTTTTAATAAAAACAATTCATTAAAATGTATACATTGTATATTTTTGTGTATACATAGTCAAATTATGGGTATTTTCCTTAGAGTGGGTTAATGCGAGATTATTGGAGAGGTAGAGGTAAAAATAATATAACTTTTAAAGTACCAATACACCTTTAAATAGAAATTTTGACCATTTTACTTTTAGAAAGCATGTTATTTTGAAATGAGTCAAAATTACACATCTGTGAACAAATTACTACTGAATTTAGAGGCAAATATGTAAAACTGTATATTCTGCTATTAAGCTGCTTATCACAGGAAAATGAAGCCCTTCTTGATCATGAAACATCCTTCCAGGGTTTCTTAACTAAGGGATGAGTTTTGAAGTGGGATGTAGCTTTGCATAGCACTCAAACTATATTTAATGGCCGCTCCCAATTTTTAAGTGAGACATAAATTTGGCCCTAAACTTTCCACTTGATATCTGCACTTAGTTTGTAATTCTGCCTTAGAGTGGTTCAGGAGGCCCTTATTGCCTTGCTCCTAAGAGGCAGTGGCTGAGTGAGCATTTTTGACTTGTCGTGTTGGGCTCTGTCTTGCTGACAAAGGGACAGATTATTCTCATGGCTCTGAGACTTCTCCTTTTGTCAAGTGAGAATGATAATAGTGAAAATTAACTGATTAATACTTTTAGATTATTTGGAGCTCTGTATAAAAACATATGGTAATGACAGAAAAGGCACATTCTGTTAATTATCTTCTTGTTAGTGGATGCTATAACAAACTGTCATACAGATCAAGAGCTGTTTATTACTCTGGTAGTATGCTAACAGAAAAGTTTGTCCTTGTTTACGGGATTATGTAATACTAAGATGCTTACAATAATATATCATTGCAGCTCGATCTTCTTATAGTGTTAGAGTTAGAAGGGACCTTGAAGATGAGGTGATAACTACATTTTAAAAATAATCAACAAAAAAGTTGAAAATCAACAAAATTTGAAAATCACATGATATCATGTATATGTGAGATATAGACCTAAAAACAACAAAGAGAACAAACAAACAGATTCAAGGACGTGGACAATAGACTAATGGTTACCAGAGGGGAGAGGAGGAGGCAGGATGAGGTAGGTAGATGGGCTAAAAGGGGTCAAATATGTGGTGACAGAAAAATATCTAGCTATGGGTGGTGAACATACAATGCAATATATATATGCCTTACTGTTGAATTGTACACCTGAAACTTACTGGATTTCATTAACCAATGTCACCATAATAAAAATAAATAAATTAAAAAAAAAATAACAGATAAACTGAGGAGGTGAATTCCTTGTCTGTGGGTACACAGCTGGTTAATGACAGACCTGGGACTTCATTTGAGCAACCTGCTGGGAAGTATTTCTGGCATAAATGAATTAATCTCGTCACTCTCAGTGTAGGGCTCTTTTATAGCATCTACACATTTTACTTAATGTTTCCTAATCATGCATGGAACAAATATTATTCAGAAGTCTAGGCAGTCTTTACCAGTGAGATTACAACATAAAAGAAAAGGTGTACTCTTTTAAAAGCTGGGTAGCTTTGCTTTCATTTTTTTGTTTTATGTCTTTTATACTGAAATTTCTTTGAGATTTTTTTATACGCTATGTTGAATGGACCAATTGTTGCAGAAAACAAGTAATAGTTACTTATTCATATGTTTTATTTTGATTGCACCATTAGCTTGTTCCCTTGTGTTCATATTTAACATATAAATATATATTAAACTTTTTTTAAAGGAAACATGTTACTTGGAGTAAGCACTATATCATTAAATATGTACAACAGTAAAGAGTAATTTTTAAAATATGTAAACCGTCCTTTAAAATCCTAATAAGCAGGATTACTTTTCCTAGAATTGAGCGTGGTTGTTGCATTACTTGAGTGAAGAATGATAAAAGAAATGGGTGGTGCAAACACTAATTTCACTGGAAACCTTTGAGTGAGGGCATCTAATGAATAACAAGTGGTGAGTATCATGTTTTTGATATTAAATGAATTGAGCTTTGTAGTCTCAGTAAATTTTGGACATTCGATGGCATGAATGCTTGCTTTATATATCACTGTGTGTGTGTGTATGTGTGTGTAGTCATATAAATGAGATATTGTATATACAAATTTATGTATATATTTAAATTTATAAAGTTTTGTTTAAATATGTTTACTGTGTTGGCATTTGAGATGATTCTATTTGTGATGAATGATGGTGACTTTTGTTAAGGATCTTTGAGATGGTGTAAAGTAAAATCTAATGTCTTAAATTATATCCTAAGATTGAGATACTTTTAGTTTAATACTTTAACCCCGTTATTTCTTATTTCTCTCTCTTTTTTAAACTACCAAGTTATCCATGAATAGTGATAGAAAATGATATTCTTAGTATGGAGAGAACTCAGAGTTACTTAGAGATACTCTGCTTTTGGGGAGGTGAATATACAGTTCAGTCTAGAATAACATTTAAGACCTCTATGTGAGATATTATTTTTTGTGGCATAAAGTGATTTTAAAGATTAACTTAAAAAGTAATAGAAAAAATAAAATGTTTCATCACCATGGTAACACTGATGCGCTGTTTCTAGTAGATTGTCATCACAGTTTATGTTTTTGATATGATCTTTGTCCTTTATGTGTCAGGAAAACCTAAGCCAAGATGTGTGACTTTGCCAGTCTTTGATCCAAACAGGTTTTCTGGCTACATATGTTTTATAGTGTTACTATGATTCACATCTTCCGGATACAAAGTATTTACACAGGTTGTTTGACTTGACAGCTTGAAATGTTTAACATGTATGTGCACTGATTTTACTAGTTTGTCTCAGTTAAATAAAGTTGGTAATATTTTAGCTTATTTGTCCTTATGACCCAAATTATCTCTCTCTGAAATAACAGTCAGCATGTTAGTGTGTTATCTTTTTACTTTATTTTTTTTCTTCCTCCTTAGTAGACTATGTTCCTGGGGGGCAGATACCATTATCTTAATTAACTTCATAAACCTAGTGCCAAACAGAGCTGGGCATGTATAGATATATGTAAATATAGATAAAATATAGATATAAGTATTCAATAAAAGTTTGTCAAAAGTATGCCTTTTAAAGTAGCTGTAGGGATGTGCAGGATGCCCATCTTTGATGATCAAAAAAGATAGTAGTAGAAAGTGTCTTTACCTACTAATGCTTACGACCTGATGAAAATAAGTTAGACATTTTGTTATAGAAATTATAACTCATTTACTCAGTATCAGTTATTGATGCTCACTGCATGTTTGTTACAATGGGGTGTTAAGATTAAAAAAAAAAAAAATCTGTCCTCTAGCATTTTAGAGATATGGAGGACAAAACTATAACATTCTAATATGTGAAATTAATTTTAAAAAAAGATTTCTGCTAAGGTTTAGGTATGGACAGCCAGTTATTAGGTGACTTTGAATGAAGGTTCCTTTGCCTCAGTCCAGTTTAAAACGGATTAGGAGACTTCGTGGTGCTGAATGACTTTGGGTTGCACCTTAGGGAATCCTAAATTTACCCGGGGAGCACCTTTTTGTAATGCCAGCATAGAAGGAGCTGTGGGACCTACTGGCTTGTGCTCATTTTGAGACCTGTAGGGGAAAGGCTAGAATCCTAGATTTTTGGAACTGAGAGGAACCTCTGGAGTCATTCATTGGAATCGGCCTGTCCCTGCTGAGAAAGCCCAGCAGGGATTTGACCCTACACACAATTAAGTCTGAGCAGAGCCAGTTTCTTTAAGAGCTGATTCTCTGATTCTAGGCCCTACTGCTTTGCATCAGCAGTGTACTTTCACTACTGAAGTAGTGGAGATAAAAGTAAAAACAGCCGAGCTATTAAAACAAAAGGAGCTATAATCAAAACATTACAATAAGGCGTGGAAAACTGATCAAACAAAGCAATCTGCGTGGTTTTACTTAAGAATGACTAAAACAGTATGCAGCAGACCTTCTGTGTCTAAGATTTAGGGCAGGGAATCTTCACTGCACATATCAATATTCCTGCACAGAAAAACAAGGGAAAAATTCTGTAGACGCTTCTGCCTTGGTAGGTTATGTTCAGAATTTTTGCTAACACTGGTTATGTGGGTGGGCGCTGGCATGATCACCTCTTTCCCAGATCTTTCATCCAGTGGGTTCCCCTTCCTGGCAGCCCAGGCAATTGGCCAGTACTCTCTCTACAGTCAGACTATATGATTTTTAAAAGACCTTGGGCCAGCTTCAGTCACTTTATATCGATCTGCTGATGTTACCCTGGTTAAATTAAGCAACAACCTTTATTTTGAAGCCAATTATTGATGTCTATATAATAATCACTAGGACTGGTAAGCCAGTAGGTCCCACAGCTCCTTCTATGCTGGCATTACAAAAAGGTGCTCCCCGGGTAAATTTAGGATTCCCTAAGGTGCAACCCAAAGTCATTCAGCACCACGAAGTCTCCTAATCCGTTTTAAATGGTAGATGAGTGTGATGATGATTAGTTTTGCTCCATGTCTGAGGTTCTTCATTTTGAAATGGAAGCTTATAGTTACTCTTGAACTTAGTATGTGTTAGGCACTGTGCTAAAATATATAGTATTTATTATCTTGAATAAATCTCATTGCAGCTGTTAAAGAAATAGATTAGAGAAGATAAGGGAGGCTCAGGGAACTTATCATTTCTAGTAACATTGACAGAAGGCAACCAAACTTCATTACATAGACGATAAGAGAAAACAAGGAAGTCAGCAATGTGTATTTCGTGTTTTGTTGTTATATATTATTTCATTTACTACTATCTCTGAACCAGTGATTTTTGATGTGAATTTTATAAGTTCCTAGAATGATATAATGTTTGAAAATATGAATATTATTTTTTTTCTAAAGAAGCTCTGTGTTTTAAATATATTGTTACTTCACATGTTCTTATTTAACTTCAAAACATTTCTACAGTGGCTTGATTGAAGACTTATGTTACAGAAGGGACTGTTAAGGACACATTAAATTAATGACTTAGCAGTGTTTCAGTATGAATCTTTGACTAACTTTAGCTGTAATTTTAAATCACCTAACTTTTAGGTATATGATTGTTTTTCAGTGGTGCTCACTTACGCATAAATGTAAATTTTAGCATGTCTGCAATAAATTAACTTTAGAAAACCTATCTTTTATTTTAAAAAAAAGTTATTGGGAAAGAGAGTGATTTAGTAGAAACCCTCAGAAAAATAAGACTAAAACCTTAAATAATATGACAAAGTCTCCAGAATCTATAAGAGTGACAATAACATGTGGGATTCTACCTTTAAAGAGAGAATGCACATATTCTAATTACCTTATGATTACTTTTGAGGAGTTTAACCTTAAAGCAAAAAAAGAAGACAACTGGTTTACTAAACCCTGGAATGTAATGAAAATAGTTCATTCGTCTTCTTTTTATTGCTCCTTAGCTTTCTCATATAGCCATTAGGGAATAGTAAAATGAACAAGAAGTAAAAATTGGGAGAAATGTAGACTGTGTTAGACTGTAGATGAATAACAAACTTAAAAATTTGCATACATATGATGCCTGTATTTAATTGTAGAAGCAAATATACTAGCTTATAGGTAGTGGTTAACTCCTATCTTCCACTATGAGAGGCACAATTAGAATATAAAATGATATGAAGGTGATTTTATTTGAAATACATGGAATTTTATTTGAGAAAAGTTCCCACTTTAACAAGGTTGGTAATTCTTTACAAAGTGTGGAAATTCCTCTTACCCACCATGTAAAAACATCTTTAACATGTATAATTTAATTTCTTAAGGTTAAACAGTCAATGGGTCTCTCCTTTTACACATTTTGCTTGAAAGACATGTCATATTCTTTAGGATATATTAAAAAAACCTGTCTTTTTTCAAATCTGTTGCAAAGGAAAACTCAACGAGAAGGAACCATTCTTGAGGCCTTACAATTGCAAATAAGTTTGTCTAAAGTTTATAAGATGTTGGGTCTGGTCTATCGGAAGCCCCCTAAATGCCTATCAACAGACGATTGGATAAAGAAGTTATGGTTCATATATACAATGGAATATTACTCAGCCATTAAAAAAAAATGAAATCCTACCATTCGCAGAGACATAGATGGACCTAGAAGTTATTATGCTGAATGAAATAAGACAGAGAAAGATAAATACCATATGATTTCACTTATATGCAAAATCTTAAGGAACAAAAAAGACCAAACTAATCAAAAATAGACTCACAAATATAGAGGACAATCTGGCAACAGACAGAAGGGAGGGGAGTTGGGAGGCTGGAAGAAAGGGGTGAAGGGTTAAAGAAGTATAAATTAATAGTTGATAGATGGTCGCCAGGATGGAGAACACGGCATAGGGAATGAAGTTAGCATTAATATAATAGTTAAGTGGAGAGCCAGAGGAGAGAAAGAGCAATCGGGGATCATTTTAAAAACTATATAAATGTCTAACCAATGTACTGTATACTTGAAACTAATAATTGAAAAAAAATGATAAAGATCTCACTTTCTAGTGTTAGACTTGCAGAATTTGAGTGATTTTTTTTTTTTTTTTTTTTTTTTTAAAAAAACTTTAAAAAAACGCTTTCCTCTGGTATTCAGAACTTGTTAAGAGGACTCATGGGAAGTGATGGAAACATCTTTAAATCATTACAGTAGGTAATGCCTACGTGGCAAAAAGTTATTTGTAGATTTGCTCATTATCTAGTTGTTTATTAGTGTTGGCTAATTATAGCAAAAAGCTATAATTTAGACCCCAAAGAGAAAAGTTTGAAGCAGAGTAATCATAGCAAAAGAATCGCCAAGTCTCCATTTTGTTTTATTCTTTCTAGATGTAGTTTTAAATGAGATCTACAATGAGATTTTGAATAAGGGTGCCTTGTTTTCCAAAAGGAAGTTTCCAGAAATGTTCAGGAAATGTTATTTAGAATTTCTAAAAAGTCTTAGAATATGCATGCACTTATAGTTGAAGT